GGGGGGCTCTTGTGACACAGTGTCCTGACCTCTGAGGAAGGGTCACCAGACCCGAAACATTAACTCTCGTTTTCTCCTTCACAGATGCTGCCAGACCCACTGAGCTTTTCCAGCAATTTTGTTTTTGTTCCCTTTTAAATCTTCCCCCTCTCACCTTAAACCTGTGCCCTCTAGTTTTGGACTCCCCCAACCCTGGGGAAAAGACCTTGGTTATTCACCAAAAAAAAACTTTTCTTCCAATCAACCTGTTCAAGGATATAATGACACATCTCTGGAGCAGGTGGGGTATGAACCCAGTCCTACTTGCCCAGTGGTAGGGACACTACCAATACGCTATAGGTGTCCATAGCAATCACAGCAGGATCTGAAGCTGTACTGTTCTGCTAAAATCCCAAATCACCCTGTAGTCAGGTGTATTATTAATTAGGCCATGCAACCATTCTTAATGGTGGATCAAAATTATTTAGTGTGACTCAGTCATGCTGCTCAGAGATATTATTACACTCCATTGGAGCAGGTCAGACTTGAACCTGGGCATCCTGAGCCTCGAGGTAGGAGCACTACCATTGTGTCACAAGCGCTCCAATATGTCAGTCAGCAAGGGTAATAATTGGAGCTATCAACTTGCTATTACACAACTCTGGAGCAGGAGGGATTTCAATCCAGGTGTCCTGCCTCTAAGGTAGGGATACTACCACTGCAATGCCAGCACCCTGAATGCTAGATCAGCATAGTTTTTTTTTAAATCCACAAGTTCAGGGATATTCTTACCATTGCTTTTGTCAGGGGGAGGCGATGGCCTAGTGGTGCTCTCGCTAGCCTGAAGACCCGGGGAATGTTCTGGGGGCCCGGATTCAAATCCTGCCAATGGCTGACGACAGAATTTGAATCCAGTTACAAACCTGGAATTAAGAGTCTAATGAAGCCCAAGAAACCATTGTCAATTGTCCAGGGGAAAAAACCCTTCTGGTTTATTCATGTCCCTTTAGGGAAGGAAACTGCCATTCTTACCTGGGTCTGGCCTACATGAGACTCCATCCCCATGAATGAATCAAAAACAAATTAGGAACAAAAACAAAGTTGCTGGAGAAGCTCAGCAGGTCTGGCAGCATCTGTGAAGAGAAATCAGAGTTAACGTTTCGGGTCCAGTGACCCTTCCTCAAAAACAAATTAGACTTGAACGCAGTCCTTGTACACCACGACAGCCCTCAATGTTTGATGAACATTTGACAAAGCAAGTGCCCACCCTTGGCGCCTTGCTGTCGCTCACACGCCCTTTTCTGTTTTTACAACATGTGAATCTTTGTTCTTATTCTTAACAGAAAGAGGCAGAGAGAGAGAGAGAGAGTCACTCACCTGCCGGCCTACCCTGTTGTTGTGGAGCCTCATGCGCGAGTGGATATCCTTGTAGGTTTCCCGGGAATCCAGGAAGTCCCTGGAGAACTTGTCACCGTACTCCACATCAGGGCTGCAGCCTCCCCATTCCCAGGAGTCCTGGGGTCCCGGCAGGTCAGTGGGAAGGGGTTCGAGTACCCCATGCACCATGCCCTTGCCCCGGTTCAGCGCCTCCAGCTGGAGCCGGTTGAGTTTGAGCCGGAAAGCCTCCTCATCACCTCTCCGTTTGTCGTCACAGCTGCAGGCTTTCAGCTTGCCCAGGCTGCAGGCATTGGAAACGGCGTGAACTACCCCCGCTGCAGCAATGGCGTAAGCATACGCGCTCTCCTTAAAACCTGCACAGAGACCGAGACAACACAGGTCATGTCAAACAGAACCCTCAGAATCCCAGCATCGGAACGATGCGAAAGGAGGCCATTCAGCCCGTCATGTCAGCACTGGTTCTATCCCCTAGTGCCAATCCCCTCCCATATCTTTGCATACTGTCTCTATCCACATAACCATCAACTCCCTCTCGAATGTCTCAATCGAACTGGTCTCCCAGGCATGGGACAATATGGAACTGCCGATGCTGGAGTCAGAGATAACACAGTGTGGAACTGGAGGAACACAACAGGCCAGGCAGCATCATAGGAGCAGGAAAGTTGACGTTTCAGGTCGGGATCCTTCTTCAGAAATGGGCTGAATAAAGGGCCCGACCCAAAATGTCAGCTTTCTTGCTCCTCTGATGCTGCCTGGCCTGTTGTGTTCCTCCAGCTCCACACTGTGTTATCTCTCATATATGGGACAATAAATGGTAGCTTTTCGCCTTCAACGTCCCACATCCCATGAAAGGATTCTAAAAGAAAATTAGCCAAATTATGCTTAACGAGGTAAAGTAAAGTACCTCGGAACATTTTGCTCCATTAATACATAAGGAAATGTGAGGGGCAAGACTTTTACACAGAGTGGTAGGAGTCTGAAAGTTGTTGTTAAGGGTGCTGGTGGAGGAAAAGATGATAGGGGTATTTAAGGGGCTTTTAGATAACACATTAATAGGCAATGAATGGTTGGATGTGCACCAAGGGCAGGCAGAAGGGATTAGTTTAATTTGGTGTCATGTTTGGCACAACATTGTGGGCCGAAGGACCCATACCTGTGCTGTACAGTTTTATGTTCTATGTTCTATGCACTAATTCAGTGGTGGTGATGGCCTAGTGGTATTTATCACTGGGCTGTTAATCCAGGGACCCAGGTAACATCCCAGGGATGAGGGTTTGAATCCTGCCACAGTAGATAGTGGAACTTGAATCCAACAAAGGAAAAATTTGGAATTCAGAGTCTAATGATGACCATGAATTGATTGTCGGAAAAGTCATCCATCTGGTTCATTAATGTCCTTTACAGAAGGAAACTGCTGTCCTTAGCTGAGGGTCAGACAGCATCCATGGACCGTTCTGATGAAGAATCATCTAGACTTGAAACATTAGCTTGCTCTCTCTCCATGGATGCTGTCTGACCTGCTGTGATCTCCAATATTGGTTGTTTTCAGTACAGATTCCAGCATTTGCTGTAATTTGCTCCTACCTGGTCTGGCTTATATGTGACTCCAGACCCACAACTCTTAACAGCCCTCTGGGCAATTAGGGATGGGTAATAAATGCTGGTTTAGCCAGTCACACCATCATCCCAAAAATTAATAAAAAGATTAAATTATTAATGGTGCTATGTAAATGCAACTCATTGTTCTACCTGCATCTAACACATGAGTATTTTTTAGTAACATATTGTGTGACTGGGATACAGTAACCCGCTATGTTAGTTACTAGATGTAACATTCACAGATATTGGAGAGATCTCAATATGTCAATGTATATGACACTCCTACATAGTATACAATAAGAACACAACAACATATTAGCAATGAAAACACTAAGTGCTGGAAATACTCAAATGAAAATATGAAAAAAAAAGCTGGAGTCTGAGACTCAGGCCTTCAGGCCTGCTCCATCATTTAATAAAACCATAGCTGATTCGATTGTAAGTTCAAATCCACATTCCTGCTTACCCACAGTAACTCTTTACCCTCTTTCTCAAACAGAATCTATCCACCTCTGCCTTAAAGTATTCAAGGACTCTGCTTCCGCCACATTTTCAGAAAGAGAGTTCCAAAGACTCTCATAAAAATGTAAGAACCAGGGGCTAGAGTAGGCCATTCAGCCCTTGGAGCCTGCTTCACTATTCAAAACGATCATGGCTGATCACATCTCAACCTCAACTCCGCTTTCCTGCCCACCCTCCATAAGCCTTCAACCTGCTACTAATTAAAAATGAACAAATAAAAAATGAACAAATGAAAAGGTACAGCACTGGTACAGGCCCTTCGGCCCTCCAAGACTGTGCTGACCATCATGCCCTAATTAATCTAAAAATAAACCTGCCATTTTTCAATCCGTATCCCTCCATTCCCTCCCTATTCATGTACCCATCTAGGTGCCTCTTAAATATCTTCAATGTGCCCACTTCCACCATCTCTTCTGGTAGTGCATTCCAGGCTGCTACCACTCTCTGTGTGATAAATCTCCCTCGCACATCTCCCTTAAACTTTCCCCCACTGACCTTGAACCTGTGCCCCCTTGTAATTGAAACTTCAACCCTGGGAAAAAGCCTCTGACTATCCACCCTATCTATGCCTCTCATCATTTTGTGGACCCCTATCAGGTCTCCTCTCAGACGCCATCCTTCCAGTAAAAACAATCCTAATCAAATCTATCTCCTCCTTAAAGTTACTCAATGTCCCAGCATCCACTGCACTCTGGTGGAGTGAATTCCACGGATTTATGACCCTTTGAGAGAGGTCATTTCACCTCATCTCTGTTTTAAGTCTGCTATCCCTTATTCTAAAACTATGATCTCTCGTTCTACATTGCCTCACATGAGGATACATTCTCTCTATGACCACTTTCTCGATCCCCTTTAGTATCTAGTATACAAACCTCTGAGGGAAAAATATTCACCTCATCTCTGTTTTAAATAGACGACCTTTGATTTAGCAAGTGACCCCGAATTATGGATTCTCCCATAACAGGGAGCATCCTCTCTACATCCAACTTGTCAAGACCCCTCAAGGTGTCTCTATCAAGTCACAGGGTTGGTGGAGGGAGAGTGGAAATGAAAAAGATGCTACGATACAAAAGTAAAAGTGAATGGCAAAAGTTGTAGTAAAGCATTTGTGCACAGCGAGTGCGTTGTAGTTTTTTTTAATTCATTCACGAAATGACAGCATATCTGGCTGGGCCAGCACTTATCGCCCAGAGGGCAGTTAAGAGTCAACCACATTGCTTTGGGTCTGGGGTCACATGCAGGTAATGACAGCAGTTTCTTTCCCTAAAGGACATTAGTGAACCAGATCATTTTTTCCAATAACCAACATGGTCGTCATTAGGCTCTTAATTCCAGACTTTTATTGAATCCATCTGTTGTGGCAGAATTCATACCGGGGTCCCCAGAACATTACCTGGGACTCTGGATTAATGGTCCAGCGACTGCTTCCCCCCAGACCTGTCCAAACCCTCCCTTTTGTTCCTCTACATCCTCGCCCCAGCAAAAAAAAAACCCTTCGCATTTCTAAAGACCGAAAGAACTGTGGGATGCTGTAAACTGGAAACAAAAGAAACTGAAGTTGATGGAAAGGCTCAGCAAGTCTGGCAGTATCTGTGAAGAAAAATCAGAGTTAACATTCCGAGTCCGGTGAACCAAGAGTTCTGAGGAAGGGTCACCGGACTTGAAACGTTAACTCTGATTTCTCTTCATAGATGCTGCCAAACCTGCTGAGCATCACATCACATCACATCTCTACCTCCCTTCAGTCCTGAAGAAGAGTCATACCTGACTCGAAATGTTAACTCTTCTTTCTCTCTCTGGGTGTCTACAGCACTTTCTGCTTCTGTTTCAGATTCCCAATAACTGTAGTATTTATTGAAAGATATTAGGGCAGGTTTTCAAATAAGTAGGAGAGAGGGACAGAGATTCAGTGAAGGTTGGAAGATGCAGGTATAATCATCAACACAACACTGCCTCAGACAGAAAATGCACATAGTTCAAAAAAGGAATCATTGCAGAAAGCAGATATCCCATTTGTCAGCAATGAAGGGTTTTTAAATCAGGGTGAGATGCCAATTTCGCTGCCATGAGAGATTATGGTAAGGACTCATCTGTACATTTGGTGCTTCATGGCGTGAATAAGAGATCATTAAATAACAGCAAGATAAATTGCTTCAACCCATGATTTTGTGATCCTGCCTTGTAAAAAAAATGGTGGCCTTATTTCTCTAAGCATATTAAACAAGATCACAGAATTGTTAGAGTGCAGAAGGAGGCCATTCAGGCCCTGTTGTCTGTACTAACTCTCCAAATGGACGTCTCGTCTCGTGCCATTCTCCTGCCTTCTTCCTGTCACCCTGCACAGTTTTCATTTTCTCATGACCATCCCATTTCCTTTTGAACACCTTGATTGAACTTGACTCCAACACACTCTCAGGCAGTGTGTTCCAGACCCTAACACTTGCTCCATGAAAAGGTTTTTCCTTGTGTCACTTTTGTTACTTTGAATTATTTTAAAACTGCCATCGATGACCCTTTCATGAGCGGGAAGAGTTTCTCCCTGCCTGGGCCTCTCATGATTTGAAAACCTTAATCAGATCCCCTCTCAGCCTTCTCTCCTTCAACGAAAGAAGCCCCAACTTTTCCAATCTCTCTAAGTATCTGAAACTCCTTGAACCATGTTCGTGAATCTTTTCTGCACCCTGTCTAATGCCTTCACATCCTTCCTAAAGTGCTGCTTACAAGTTCAACACAACTTCTTTGCTCTCGTACTCTTACCTCATATTAATAAAGCTTCAAATTAATTTGTTGCAGGAAAAGTACTTTGATTCATTTTTTTTCTGTCATCCAAAAAAGGCATAAAGGTCTTCCTTTTGATAAATGCTTCACCTAAAGGGGTATGGCCTTAATTGGGAAAGGATTTGACAAATCTTCGAAAATGGTGCCATAAACATGCAATTCTCTGGTGTAAGTTACACTGAAATGTATCATAGAGTCAGGGAGTCATATGGCATGGGTTCAGCCCAACTTGTCCATGCTGATGAAGTGTCTCAAATTGATCTAGTCCCATTTGCCTGTGTTTCACCCATATCCTTCTAAACCTTTCTTATTCATGCACCTCCCATGCTCCAGGTAAAAAAGTCCCAGCCTATCCAGCTTTTCATAGAGTCATACAGCACCGAAACAGACCCTTCAGTCCAACTTGGCTGTGCTGACCTAGTATCCCAAGCTAAACTAGTCCCATTTGCCTGCA